CCATACAGGTATGGCCTAAAATATTTTGTCGCCCACACTAGGCACAAACATTCCTTCTCAATGGTAGAGTAGTTTTGTTCCGAGTCGTTCAATGTACGAGATGCGTATGCTATTGGCAGGTCCTGACCTATGGGCCCTTGCGACAGTACTGCGCCTAGCGCTACATTGCTAGCGTCACAGGTCAAATTAAAGGTTTTAGAAAAGTCCGGGTATTGTAGTATCGGTTCATTTGTCAATAGTTTTTTACATTTTTCGAAACAGTCAATGAACTCTGGGTTATGTTCAATCTTGGCTCCCTTTTTCAAACATTTGGTTAGTGGTTTTGTTAATTTTGCAAAATTGTTTATGAAGCGTCGATAATAACCTAATAGTCCAAGAAATCCTTTTATTTGCTTCGTTGTTTTTGGTATGGGATAATTTTTGATTGCGTTGACTTTATCTGGGTTAGGACGTACTCCTTCAGGTGTTATAACGTGTCCTAAGTAAGCTACTTCATGCCTTAGACACTCGCTCTTATCTAATTGGATCTTAAAATTCGTTTCTCTTAATCTTTGGAATACGGTTTCTAATCGCTCCAAGTGTTCCTGTAATGACGACGAGAAAACTATAATGTCATCAAGGTAAACTAGGCACTTCTCGTTTTGGATTCCTCGTAGGATGCCATCCATGACCCTTTGGAATGTGGCGGGGGCATTGGATAGACCGAAGGGCATTCTGAGAAACTCGAAATGGCCATTTTCTGTACTAAACGCCGTTTTTTCAATGTCCTTTTCATTCATTTGAATTTGATGGAACCCACTAGCCAAATCTAAAGTTGTGAAATATTGACACTTCCCTAGCTTATCCAGAAGGTCCGTTATGTTAGGAAGAGGGTATCTATCTGGCATGGTCTTTGCATTGACGCCTCTGAAGTCAATAACGACTCTCCATTTCTGCTTCCCAGAAGCATCTGCTTTTTTTGGGACTACCCAAATAGGTGCAGACCAAGGAGAATTGCTTGGGCGTATAATATTCTGGTCCAGCATTTTCCTTATTTGTGATTCAACCTCTTGCTTATGAATGAATGGGTACCTATATGTTTTTGTATATACAGGCTGTTCATCTGTTGTTTTTATAGAGTGTTTTATTTCGCTCGTGAATGTCAATGGCATATTTTCTTGGTAAAATATGTCCGAATATTTTCTACATAATTCAATTATTTTGGCTCTCTCTTCTGAATTAAGGTGATCTGTGCGAATTCCAGTATAGTCAAAAATATCAGTATCGTAATTTGATGCCACAAAATTATTTAGATTAATTTGTTCTATTTCTTCTCTATTAAATGGTTCCACTTCAATTGGTCGTGAAAGATCTAATATAATTGGCTGACATGTGTTGTTCAAGATTGTCGTTAAAGCGTATCCATTTTTTGCAATGCTTAGGGAGTTCGGAATCTCGCAATTATGCATTTTCTGATATGGAATTATAACTTCGCCATCATGTATGCTGGTTTTAATTTTCACAAGCTGTTCGGTACGTGGTGAGAGAGTGATATTATATGCTTGGTTTATGTTCGTTCTTTGGAATTGTAACTTGATTTTTGCAAATGGAGTTACTAAGAATCCTGTTTCATAGTTTATGCTAGCTTGTAACATTTTTAGATTATCAAGTCCTATAAGGCCGTCAAAGATGTTATGAAATTTAAATTAATAAAATTTCAAAGGTTTCCTATTAGGTAGATTAAAAATTTTTGAAGCGGGAATTTGAGCACTGTATTGATGTGCTGATTGTTGGAAAACAGTTGAAACGATGAATGGCTCATAGCTTATGTGATTTGGAAAGAATTTTTGAGCTAAGTCGGGGTCTATGAACGACTTGGTGGAGCCACTATCTATGAGAAATTTGAGATTGCATTCAGGAAAGACGATATAGGAGAGCTCACTTGCGTTGACGTTATTGAATGATATTATTTCAGGTGATTCTAGGGTGCAGGGTTGGTTGACTGAATTTCCTGAAAATTTGATTGTTCTGAAGAACCAGCTGTGTCGTATTCTACGAGTTCAGTGGTTTGGAATTCATTATTTGAATCGTTATAATTATCGGAATAATTGTAACTTTGTTGAGGGTCAACTTCGGTCTCATAATAATATGATTCGGTGTAAGAAAGGTCAGTGACATTCGTCGTATTTGTATTATATAATTCTTCTGAAATAAAGTTACGTGGTTGCGTAACTTGGAAATAGTTATTACCAGAAGTTTGTGATGCATTGGTAGCAGAATAGGTTTGTCTTGTCGTTGTAGACATTGGGGTAGGTCTAGGAAAATTTTTGTTTTGACCTGGTTTAAATACATTGGTCTGATTTTTATTTTTGAAGACCTGTGAGTTAGTTGGGAATTTTTGTTGTATTTTATTATAATCAGGTCTCACATGAATAGGTTGAGATGGAAATTTTTGTTGAGTGAACGTGTTATTTGGTGTATTAGCATTAAATGTGTTGGAATTATTGTATCTTTGGTGTGTATTTTGTTTGAAGTGCTGTGAGGGATGTTTTTGTTGAGTTTTAGCTATATTCTGAAAATATTGTGTATTATATTCCTGTGTGACAAACTGTAGAGCTTCGGGAAGGTCTTTGGGACGCATACACCTAATTGTTGTTCCCAATGGTTCCCTTAAGCCTGATAAGAAAGTTTTAAGGGCAAGATCATTGTATAAATTTCGCTTTAAATTTTTCGCATTTTGATCAACTTCATGACTATTTACATAAGAACAAAGCAGGTTTAAAATATGCATAACCTTGTCATAATATTAACTAGGCTTTTCTGAGTTTTGTTGTCTCAACATTACGAGATCTCTGTTTAAACATGCCTCGTCTCTTTGATCTGCAAAATGCCTGCTCAAAGTTAGTTTCAAATTATCCCAAGTAGTAACATTTTCTGTACCTAGGATCAATTTTGCGTTCCCAGTTAATTTTCCAATGATGCAATTTATCAAGTAAATATTTTGAAAATGGTTTGGTTGATTTGCATCATAGAAATTATCAATTAAACTTTGGCATACTGCCAAATATCTATTCAAATCGTTAGGGTTACCATCGAATTGTGGTACGCAATTTAAGTACTCAGGTTTAAATTGAGCCATATTGTTAATTGTATTAATATTATTTAAAATTAAATTATTTTGATTAGTGCTTGTATCAGTAACTGCAGCACTGTTATTTAATGTTTGATTAATATTTCTTATAAACTCTTCTGTATCAGAAGGTGAGTCAGTTGAAGGTAGAGATAGAGATAATAATCTTTCTGTTAATTCATCAATATCAGACATTAAAGAAATTACAAATTGCACATTGCACTTACATGAAGATTATTCCGTAGAGCAACATTTATAAGGCCAAGAATTTCTGGTAGGCTATGTTTATCCTTCCAAATTAATCCTGGTCTCGCGAATATTGGCTATTTTTGGTCCAATAATCCGATTGCTTGAAGGCAGTTCTTTGGTTTTCGATTTCGTAAAGCCACTCCGACACTTCTCGCAAACACTTAACACGATTTTCACACAAGGGTGTAGATTCGAGTTCCCGGTTAGTCCGATTTCCGAAAAGTTCGTAAACCAGTTCCAAAAACAAAAAATCCGGACGACTGCGCCTGTTATCAATACGTAGGCCGATAACAAGTTTTTAAAAAACAATTTATTCACTAAATTACAATAGAGAAATACTTTCGCGTTCGCGTTACAAAGTTTCAAATAAGAAATATAATTACAATTCAACTGACTAACTATTCTAGGCGGGCAGCGATATTTATAATAAAGAAAAGCGAATTAAGCAGTTTATATGAATGGTCAGCAAATAGAGCTGACATTAGGGATAACAAACTATCGATAGGAATATCGATACTATCGATAGTTTTTTAATTTTCGATAGTATCGATAGACCTGTACCAATATCGATAGTTCCAATGTAGCCAAAGGTAAATGAAAACATCTGTATATTGAGGGAATTATAAAGAAATCTGTAGTTATTTTGAGAAATCTGTAATTATTTTTGGGGATAGACATGCTGTGCTGCCAATTTTTCGGTTAGGAGGAGTGACGAGTGACTTTGATGGACTTGATGGAGGTTGGAGGTTAATGTTTATCGTAATTAATTACAAATTTGGTTACTTTGGTCAGAGCAAACTATCGATAGTACAATCGATAGTTACTATCGATGGGTAGGCCATTCTATCGATATCACTATCGATAGTTTTTTTTTCGATAGTTTGTCAACCCTAGCTGACATTACTAGTGGATAAATAAAATAAAGAAATTCAATTGTTTTTTTTTGTCAATTTATTACGAAATTTTGACAGGCACGTGATTTGTGAATTGAAACTGTCTGATGTAGTCACGTGACTGTCAAAATTTCAGAGCAAAGATGACAATAACGAACACGGCCACTGTATCCTACTTTATTCCCTTCTCTCTCTCTATTGATTGAATTGTCTGACAACCATAGACGTACCATTAATTTTCACTCCCCATTGATAAAATTAACAAGTTTGTTGTTGATTTAATGTTCATTTAATTAAATTGTTGTTACAATAAAAGACTGTTTATTTGTGTTTTTATTCTTGTTAATTAATTAATTTACTATTCATTAACAAACTTCAATTTAACTTCCAACTTGACAGACGATAATCTGCTGAAAACCAAGGATATTACACCAAGTAAAAGTAAAATGTGCGCCAATGGCCTTCAGTGAAAAACATATTTTAATTCAATTTTACATTAAATATTGAAAATTTTCATTATATTTCAACAGCTGATACAATCAAACATTTAACTAAAATTTATAAATATTGATGGGTCATTGCACCTTTTCAATATCCGTCCCTGATACGGTTCAAGAATCATTTAAATAAAAAATGTAAATCATTTCATTAACAACTAATTTCTTCCATTCTGAGAAACAATAATTCATTATTATCGGGACCGTTGATGACACATCTCTCGAGAATTTCTAAACAAAGAAAACGCTTACCTTGTAGACTTGCCCGTAGGTACCATTTCCAACCACTTCAATAAGCTCGAAAATACCGGCTGGATCCTGCAAAAAAGTGAATATTTTTGGTTGTATTTACTTATAATATACAGGGGTAGTAAGAGTAGGTACACACCCAAAAAAAAATTTATTGGGTGTGTATGCAATACTCAAGCCCCCCAAAATGTAAGATTTTTCCAAGGCCTACTTAAATTTCTACCCAAAATTGACTTACCTTCAAAGCTGTTAAGTCAATATCATCCAAAGAACAGTTCACTGAAGGGGGCATTTGATGCGCCATTTTGCTTAATAAAGTCCACCCGTTCACTTTCCAAATCGATTCCGGCCGAGTCGCGATATCGAAGTTTGCCTTACATCAGGCCTTAAATTAAACTCCTCCGACTGATTAGCGATTTGACATGGTTTTTAAATCGCGAAAACTCAAGGAAATCGCACCCGAAACATGATTTTTTTTATTTTCCCGTCCCAGACTGGGTTCAACAACATTCGACGTATCGGCGCACCCTCTTTCCACCGACACGAACGGAAAAATAATAAAAAGAACTGTCAGTGGATTGTCAAAAAGGAGTTTGTGACGTTTGGATTTGTTTAGCTGTCAATTGTTGCCAACAGAAAAAATATATTTCAGATTAAAGCTGGTTTTCTCGCGGTGGAACTGAATTCGGTTCGAATCTGTACATTCTTGCGTTGAACCAGTGACGTCACATTGAACTTGGTTCAAAAAAGCTCAAACTGCAATCTTTGGCTTGTTATCCGTTGACAAAAGACTATGTTCAAGCTTTCCATTTTCTCGCGTTCACCAATGATGACGTCATCTACGAAGTGATTTCAATCATTCGCCCCGCAAAAAAACGCATTTGATTGAAAAAAAAATATTTTAAAAATGACAAGTGACATTTTTGGATTTTGTAGGTTATGTTAGGGTACTTTGCAGAGGAGATTTCGTGTTCCAATCGACATTTTTTACTCAAATTCTGTTAATTGTTGCTTCTAGAACACTAATTCTGGATTTAGTGTAAGTTTTTTTATGTTCGAAACTAATCGGGCAATGTTAACAGTTACTCTACTTGGTCTGAGATTCTCGTTTTAGTACAATTTAGAACTCTGTTTACTCGTACTACTATTTTAGAGTAAATAGAGTAGGTTTATTCATTAAAAAGTTTCATTTATTTCCCTCCTTATACTCAAACATGAATATAATTACTCTATTTGCCATATTTCGAGTGCTCTGAGTAAGCAAATTGTTCAAGATTGTATTTTTTTTGAGTTCGAATATTGAAATAAAATCGATTTGGAACTGGAACTGATTCTTCGGAACAGCAATTGTAGCAGTCAAAACTCTAAAAATCAATTCTGAGATGATCTGGAACCAATTCTAAATGAATTCTTAATGTGATCCAGGACACTAATTTAGAATTTTTGTGCACCATATGCATTTGATAATTATAATTGGTTTATAATCTTTTCTAGTTCGGAACAGTAATTGAAAACCAGTTCAGAAATGCTCTGGAACCACGAACTATAGTAAGTTTAATGGGTTCTAGAACATTAATTGTGCACCATTATGCCTATAATAATAAATCAGTTCATGATTTTCTCTAGTTCGGAACAGCTATCAAACTACTTAGAACTCTGAGAACCAGTTCAAAAATCATCTGAAATTGGTTCTAAATGAACTGCAAAGAATTCAATGTGTTCGGAACAAGGCAACAATAATGAATTTTTTCAGAATCAGTTTTGAATTGAATTATGTAATATGTATGTTCGATATGAACAAATGCAGTTCAATCCAGAACTGATTCTACCTATTCCAAATTAGAATCAGTTCAGAGTCGATCTAGAACCAGTTCTAAATGAATTGTGAATAAAAAAGAGTAAATTCAATGTGTTCCAGGGCACTTATATTAAGATTTTTTTGATCGTGAACTAATTTGGAACAGGTCTTTAGAACACAAAGAAACGTTTTGGAACTGATTTTAGCTCCACTTTAAATAATTTGAAACTGATTCTAATTGAATTACGAACAAAAATGGAATAAGTTCAATGTGTTCGAGAACATTGATTCGGAATTTTTTTTTAAATTGTGATCCAATTCATCCAGTTCTTCATTTGACAGTAAACGAGTTCGGAACAGATTTTTAGAACAGATTTGAGCTGTTTTCTCGCGGTGGAACTGGTTCGATTCGGTTCAATTCGGACATTCTTGCGTTGAACCAATGAAGTCACATTGCACCTGGTTCAAAAAAGTTTGAACCGGACTCTTGGCTCGTTTTTCGTTGACAAAAGACTGGGTTTAAACCTTCCATTTCCTCGCGTGCACCAGTGATGATGTCATCTACAAATTGATTTAAACCGTAGTTTGCACCATTCGCCTCGCGAAAAAACGCATTAGAATTTTATTTTTAAAAGTGACAAGTGACGTAACTGAAATAGAATTCCATTTATCGTTATTACCGGTATTTTCGGATTTTGTAGGCTATGTTTGCGTAGTTTTCAGAGGTAATTTTGTTCCAATCGACATTTTTAACTCAAATTTAATTTATTGTTGCCTCTAGAACACTAATTTTGGATCTAGTGTAGGTTTTTTTTATGTTCGATACTAAGTATAAGGCAACGTTAGCAGCTACTCCATTTGGTCTGAAATTCTCGTTTTAGTGCACTAAATTTAACTCTGTTTACTCGTACTACTGTTTTAGAGTGAATAGAGTAGGTTTATTCATTGAAAAGTTATATGTATTTATTTTCCTCCTTATACTCAGACATGAACATAATTCCTCTATTTGCCGAGTGCTCTAAGTAAGAAAATCATTCAAGATTGTATTTTTTTTTACTCCTTCGAAGTAAATAGAGTGAGTTCGAATATTGAAGAGTATAAAGGCAAACAAGTTCGGAACAGGTTTTTGGGTTTAAGAGCAAATAAAACCGATTTGGAACTGATTCTAGTTGCACCGCGAACAATGATACAGGACACTAATTTAGGATTCTCATGCACCGTATCCGTATAATAATAAACTAGTTTATGATTTTCTCTAGTTCAGAACAACAATCGAGCTACTCAGAACTTTGAGAACCAGTTCAAAAATTATATGAACTGGTTCTAGATGAACTGTGAACAATTCAATGTGTTCGGAACATCGTAACAATAATGGGTCTGTTCAGAATATATGTTCAATATAAACAAATGCGTAAGTTCAATCTAGAACTAATTCTACAAATAAGTCCGAACAAGCCTATTCCAAATTAGAATCAGTTCAGAATCGATTTGGAACCGGTTCTAAATGAACTACGAATAAGAAAGAGTAAATTCAATGTGTTCCAGGGCACTTATATTAAGTTTTTGTGATCTAGTTCAGAGTTTCATTTGACAGTAAACGAGTTCAAAAGAGTTTTTAGAACAGGTTTGAGCTGGTTCGATTCGGTTCAAATAGGTTTGAAGCTGTACACTCTTTCGTTGAACTAGTGACGTCACATTGAACCTGAGCTGGGATCAAAACGACTAGAATTCTACTTTTATGACGTCAGGTTGCCTAGCAACCATCATTATCGCCTGTACTGTACGCGATAAATAGGTCGCGAGTGACGTCATGAAAGTAGAATTCTACTGGCCGTGATACCAGCGAACCGGACCTCTGACTTGTTCTCCGTTAACACAAAACTGTGTTAACCTTCCATTTTCTCGCGTTCACCAGTGATGACGTCATCTACAAATTGATTTAAACCATAGTTCAAACCATTCGCCTCTCAAGAAAACGCTTTAAATATTCAGAAGTGTATACGTTTGCTCGAAGTTACGTTCTCTGTTCGGAATTCTAATCGATTTGGTTCTGGATCGATTTTGAACTGATCCAACTAGAGTAAACGTATTACTCGGTGCGTCCAGAGCTGTCTTATTCGATATCGAGTATCATAACAATCCAAATCGACTCGAGAAATAGAATCAGGCCTCTGATTATTATCGAAAGAGAGTATTCCAAACAGTTGGGGTATTCTGAACAATTAGAGTACTCCAAACAATTGGTGTACTTTTTATCAGTAAAAGAATTTCAAATAATTAGTAGAATATTTCGAACAGTGAGACTATTCCAAGTGGGTGGAGCATTTTCCGTCTCTTTTCCTTTTAATAGGAAGAACAAGGATAAAAGTACAAAAAAAGACAATTTTAAAACTCACTCTGTGATAAGGCTTTTTAGCACTAAAGCACTTGAAATGGCGCGTTTAATTTGAATGTTTTCTACGGCTTTTGGTCTTAGATTGATGCTCCAAAAGGCGTTTTGCTCATTTAATTTGCTGCACTAAGTTGCTCCAAACACTCTAGAGCAAGGTAACAACAATAATTTTATACTTTATAAGCATTAAAAACAACTTCTTTGTTCCAAGTACCATTAAAACCCACTCTAGAACAGTTTCCAGGAATGTTTTTTGGTGCTTTGGGCACTTTTAAATACTATTGATTTTGAGTTCAGAGCAGTTTTCAAACGATTCAAGAACAATGAAAACAGTTCTAAAACAATCTGGTGCAGATACAGTTGGAAACGATTTTGAAACTGTTTATAAAAAGATAATTTTGCGTTTAGAACTGTTCTGAGACGATTCATTATTCCCAGAACAGTTTCAAATCCACTTTTAGTGCGCGTAGTTTACTCTAAAACCATTATAGAACAATCGAGAATAAATTCTAAAACAAGTTTTGTGTTTAAAACGGTTCGAATAGGAAAAGTAATGGAAAAATTCCAGAACAATCCGAAAATGAAGATTTTTGAGACAAAATGTGACTGTTCTAGAACAAATGGTATGTTTAAAGCTGTTTTTTTTTCTTCGGATTTGTGGAACAAAGTGCGAATGTTCTAGAACAATTTGGAGGAGATGCAGTTAAAAAGTTCTAGAAGAGAGAAATTTTGTGTTCAGAGCTGTTCTAGGACAATTCAAATCAGTCCCAGAACAGTTCTAAATCCACTTTTAGTTCAGCGCAATTTACTCTAGAACCATTTTAGAACAATCAACAATAAATTCTAACCTAAAATAAGTTACTCGCTGTTCTAGAGTGGGTTTGTAAGAGTACTCGAAAAAACGGTGGAAAATATAGAGCGAATAAAGAATATTTTTTCTTACTTAAAAACCTTGCTCCAGAGTGAGTTTTAAAAATTGTTCGGAACAATTCAGAACTGCAAATCAAATAGGCATCATCCTATTTGGAGCATCTTTAAGGCCAAATGCCGAAGAAAACACTCAAATCGAACACTTTAAGAGTGCCCTAGAGTAAACTACAAATAAAAAACTCGCCTCGAGACTGTTCTAGAGTGAGTTTGTAGAAGTACTCTGAATAAATTGCGACAATGAAAAATGCAGAGTAACCTTTTAAAAAGGGTTCTGAATTATTTTTAATAAAAGAAATCTTGCTCCAGAGTGAGCTTTAAAGACTGTTTAGAATAACTGAATAGGATGGAAAAAAACAATAAAAAGTAGTGTTCTAAACTGTCCGAATCTTTTTGATCTGTTCAACTATCCGAACTGCTTTGACTGTTTTAATACTGTTCCATTTGCACTAACTGGATTTGAACTACTCCTATTCGAGTTAATCTAT